TTCATGGGTTTGGATCAAGACTCTGGCTCTGGGCACTGGGTACAGATGCTGCTGCTTCTGCTCTCCGTCTGTTACGAGCAAGAACAAAAGGCTGGAGGAGCTCTTGGAGTGGAAAGTGATTTTAGAAGTGGTGGATGTTGAAGGAGGAAATATATGTGAACCTATATCCTGCTCTTATTTCTTAGAGATGTGCTGCCTAAATAGAAGGAAGGCAGGAGAAGAGGTTTTCTTGTGAACACAGGCATCACCTGTGTTCACTGAGAAGGCACAGGATCTGGTGATGCTGTCCCACACAGACCTTTGATAATGATTTATTAACAAGTTTATAAACCATGACAATCCCTGCCTTGGAGCCAGCTGGTGGCCAAAACCAATGTTTCCTACCCACATGGATGCTCAGGGATCCTCCAGGCTCATCCAAGTAGCATAACTGCGGGAGAGGGAATGGAGCTGGGTGTGGCCAAAACCACAGGGAGACACCATCAGGAGGAATTTTTGGACAGGACATGATTTATTAAGGCACAGGACCAAAAGGCAGGACTCCCCATTTCTATTTTCAGCTCTTGTAGTGACAGAATTTACCTTGGGAGATGATTTTGGCTCAGACCGAGGGATGTGGAAACCTGAGGGATGTGGAAACCCGGAGTGAGGCATTTAGGCTTGTGTTTAGCCTTGTAAATGAACAGCCAGGTTGTAAGTCACTGCAGGATTGCTTACATGAATAAAGATGATAGATGCTCCTGGCTAAGAGTAGGTGCCATATGACAGTTTTTATCCCTGGAAAAGCCATGGCTTTCTCACAGTTCTGCTTTTGATTCAGTGGAGGTTTAAACTGAGCTGTAAATACTCCCATTCCAATTTTGAGGCTCTCTGAGCACTAAAAGGCATTTGCCAGTCTCTGTTTCTCTTTGATATGGATGTTCTTTCACCTTCACTCATTGTCATTGCTGCATTTTCCTGGCCTTTGATTTCCATTGAAGTTTTAGGTGCTTGAACTGCAGCATTTTACAGAGACCGCAGCAAATGGATTGCTGGGATTGCAGATGGATTGCCCGTAAGGATGTTGGTTTTACTTTAGCACAATCATCAATGCCTTTTTTTATATACCCAGAGTAATATTCATTGTGCATCTCTTGAATGCCTGTAGTAAACTGCTCTTTCCAGCTTTACTCCATCTAATTTAACAAATAATTAACGTCCCAGTTCCAGGGAAGGCCAGCAAAGTGGGCAACAGTTAAAAAGTTACAAGTTTTGTCACCTCCTTGTGTTGTATCCATCTCCATCACATCCAAGAATCTGGTTGCTAATTAGTGGTGCTCCACCAGAGGAACCCCAACGTTTCTGAATGTCAGTGAACGTTATTTGAATATGAGTATTTCAGGAATAAATTCAGAGGTCTTTTTAAATTCTTATGTAAATGGGTGTGTAGATTCCAAGGGGGTTTCTTTTGGAAGGCAAATTAGATGATTAACCTGAGAAGCTTTATGATGATTCCATCATGTGCTTTCACTGAGGGAAAAAAAGAGAGAAGGACAATCTTTCCTGTTTCATGCCATTTTAAGTATTCTTTTTCCAAGAGGGAGTTCAGTCATTCCTTTTTCTGTTGCTAACCTGAAGCAGAGTGGATATGAAATATGGATATGCAGATTTTGTGCTGGGATTTATAAACTGTAATAAGAAGCTTGCATGGGTGTTTTAAATCAACATAACCTTTGGATGTAAAGTCAGACTTTGCAGGTCTTTGGATTTATTGGTATTAGCAGCAGTCAGATTTGCACAGCTGAGTCTTGGCTGAGCTTAAAGGTCTCGGCAACAGGCGTGGGGCATGTCAGAGCAGAAGGTGGTACTGGATGCCTGTAGGAATGGATGGTGGGTGAGAAGATGCAGTGACATGAGGTGTCCTTCTCCAGGAGGCTGGAGACAGCTTTCTCCTTGCCATCACTCTGCAGAGGAGGCATTACTCCCAAACTGCCAGCTGCCATTTGCATCCTGGCCAGGATCTGGGAGAGGCTGGTGCTGACTCCAGCCATGCATCATGTAGGACCCAGCTCCTGTCTGCTCAGGAGGAGGATATTGTCTTCTCCAAAGCTGTAAGCAGAATTGGCATCTTTAATGTAAAAATCATTAGGTGGGACCTAATTAATGTTCCTTATTGCACATTAACATTTCCCAGAGTCAGGCTGCAGACATAATTTGCTTTCATTAGATATGTAGCTTTAAAAATTAGATTCATCCCAGTACCTACACTATTTATTGGCTTGTTTCCCTTTCCTTAGCTATCCATAATTATCTGAAGCCCTTTCCTGATCTGTCTGGTTAGATTAGGTGGAATTAAAGCAGAGCCCAGCTTCCTGTTCCCCACTGCCCTCACTCTGTGGGAGCTCAGAGGATACACACAGTCTCCAACATAGACACACTTCTTAGCTTGCTTCTTCCACTCCTCTATCCACAGGGGTTCTGTAGATCCCTCAAAGCCTCCTAGGAGCCATACAGACCCCAACCCCCTGAGTTCAGTTTCCTTGCAGAAAGGTTTCATTCTCTGAGTCTCCTTTTTCAGCCTCCCAAAGATTTGTGGACCACAGGGTCAAGCCAAGCAGCTGTGCATCACCATGGAGCTGTTTTGGGATGCTTGTGCAGCTCACCCTATGGTGAGCCAGAGCCTTCATCCCTTGCTGTCAGGACCATTCCTTACCTGGGGGCTGGGACAGGGGGTTCCTTACTCGTCAGGACTGAGACAGGGAAGGTTTTTGTCCATGTGGGATTTGGCCATGGAGCTCCCATGGCTTCACTGAATGAGCTGGTGCATTCCCTGTTGCCTCCCATGCTTGGCAGTGTAGTAATTAATGCTGGCCCTGAAAGAGTGATCTGCATCAGGTCTCCCTGGCAATGGGAGCCCTGGGGAGCCCGGAGCTGAAATTACAGCAGTGCTGAGCTGGTCCTGGGGAAATGAGGAGAGCAGAGAGGCCGGGGATGAGGCTGCAGTGATGTGCTAGGGAAGGGAAGAAGCAGCACAGACACATCCAGCTGCCCCAGCAGTGCCCAGAGCTGCCCCAGCTCTCCCTATAACCATGGTTTGCACAATCCACCCTTGGGATGTGGAGTGATAAAGCAATTTCTTTTCCTTTTTTTTTTTTTTTCTATCCCATCAATATCTGTCTAGTGACAATTGAATATACAGGAATCCTCTTTTTTTGTGGTGTGTGTCCCTGCCAGGACTCATCATTTAAGAGTGGCTTCCTTCTGGATCCATCCAAGGTGGTCACCTGAGCAAACACTGTGCAAGCCTGTGCTGATATTTGCACTTTACTTTCAGCATCTCCTCAGGCATTTTACAGTGATGTTTGGTCACAAAAAGAAATGCAACTCACATTCTGCTTCTTTAATCAGAAAACCTAGGATTTCTTTTCCCTTGATCCCTTTCTATTATCTTTTTTTTTGTTTACTTTTTTTCCTCTTCTCTTTCTTCTCTCATTGATTATTCATTTGTTTCTCACTTCAACACAGAAGTTTGCAGCAAAATCTGGGCCACCCCAGGAGCGGGGCTGCCTGACCCAGTTGCAGCTCCTTCCCCACTGGGGTGCAGGGCTCTGCTCCCCCTGCAGCAGTGCAGGCAGCAGCAGGGGTCTGTCTCCACTCCCAGGGCCTGGCCCAGGCAACTCAGAGGATGTTGGGATGGATGGAGTCCATTTGACTGCAGGGCAGGTTGTGGTAGGATTGTTTATGGCAAGGGTTTTAAATAAACAGCCTGGGGAGAAAAGATGTTTAAGTGAGACCTAGAGAAGACATTAAGGGACATCATGAGTGAGTTTGAAAGGAAAGTTTTCTTACTCTCTTGAGGATTTTTCCAAGTGTCTGGGTACCAAACCTGGTGTTAGAAGAGAAAATTTGTAGTGAGGAATCAAGTAATTATCCTTATCTGCTCTGTGCTGAATTCATCTTGTGGCTGACAAAGCTCAGCCTTGGCTGAGATGGCTCTGAAGGTCCCTTACCTCCAGCAGTCCCTTACCTCACCACCACATTTCAGCCTGTGGTTCGAATAAGTACTGCAAATCTCCCTATTTTTACTTTTTGCTGTGACATTAATGGTCACTGCAAAGCCACAAGCACGACCTGGCAGTGTGAAACTCCTTTTCTTTATTCACCGAAAAGGAGCAGCCCCCACCAGCAGAGCCAAACCTTATAAATATTCAAAATTCAGTTTGTAGGAATGTGAGACAAAGTCAGACAGATGAATTATTTAATGCTCTTAAAGAATGCAGCTTTTAGTTTTTCCTTGCACTGGCCTACTTTATTCTATTAGTAAATCGATCTCCAGTAAATTAATTTCCCTCCCTTTCTTGCAGCAAGCAGTGGGCATGGGTGGAAGCCTCCTTCCTTGAGCAGATGCCAGGACACCTCTGTAGCTGTGGACTGAGGCGCTGAGTGTTGGAGGAGAGTTGAGCTCCTGTCGTTCATTTCGTGCCCTTTGATTTGCATTAGAACACCCAGCACTCAGGAGAAGCAGGGAGCATTGATGGGGACAGGCTGTGAGTGACAGGCTGGTGTGGCACTGCTGAGGCTGCTTTTGGGAGGCTGCCCGTGGATGTAGATGTCAATGAGACCTGGATGCACGCTGGGTTTTGAGAATTTCCCCTATTTTGTGGCAAATAAGAGACTGAGAGCGCTGATATCAAAGTTGGGTCTTCTCCAGCTCATGGCAGGATGAGGCTCCTTTAGTCCCTGCAGGGCTGGGACAGAGGCCAGCTCAGGTCCCTCCCCAGTGGCAAGGGTGTACCAAAGGGTGTACCAAGGCTCTGTGGTACCAAAAACTCCAAGATGACATTCCCTAGGACTGGATCAAGCCCTTACTGTGTCATGTGACTGGCCACAGAAAAGCAGAGTAACAACTACCAACCTCCCACTGATGCTACAACAAACCCAAAAAGTCACCAGCTTTTCCAGGCAATGAGGAGTTAATGTGGAGTACCTGCCTAAGGAAGGAACATTAAATCCACCCAAAAATGTCCTATCCTGACAAGAAAGGTAGTCCCACTCCTATGTGAGCTTTTGTGGATGTAGAGCATCAGTGGAGTTCTTTATGGGTTCGTGCTCAGCCTGTGCTCCTGCTTCTCAGCCAGTCTACTCCCTCTTATCCCAGTTAGAAATGTTCCTGTTCATTTGCATGCTTATTGAAAGCGTGTTGCAGAAAGACCTGACAGTTCCTTAGGGAAATAATGTCAGAGGTGATCAGAGCTGCCAGCTGGGAGGGGAATTGGATTGGCACTGACCAGTCCAGTGGGTGTATCCACACATAACCCTTTCAATTAGTAAAACTGGCCACTTTACTCACCCTTTTTACATGGTGTGGTAGCAGCAGTGCAGTAAATACTCATAGAGAAATAAGTCCAAAATTGCTCTCTGGACTACTTTGATGAGTATGAAAAAATCCTGCCCTGAAGACTGACCTTCTCTCTCTCTCCCCTTTTTATTTTATTTTTTGTTTTAATATTTGTGTTATGTAGTTTTCTACTAGTTTTCTCCTGCCTGGTGCTGTCTGTCTTTTCGACCATTGATGAGTACCAGAACAGCTCAGAAGGGGCCCTTTACATCCTGGTAAGTGGGGGCCAACAGTGAGGTATTAACATAAAGGCAAAACCACACAAAAACCTGAGATTGGGGGTGTTAGAGGCAAGGATTTAAACTGTCACTTGTGAGAGGGGGACCAGTACAACCTATGGGTAAGAAATGTGAAAAGGAGAAATCTGTATCAGGAATGAACTAAAAATATTTTGAAGGGTCTTTTAAAACCTTTCTTCCTAGACTTTTTCTCTTTCTTTTCTTTTTCTTTCCTGAATTTATCTTCAATTTCAAAACACAGTAGCAAGACTGATCCCAACTGAAAGCTCCCAGTATTTAAAGCTGCAGACGCTCTGCGTCAGGAGCAGCCGGCAGAGCTGCCTCCTCTCCCACACTATCACATCCCTGCAACTATTTGATCCACCATGAAGCTGCAGAGTTTTGTTCCTGAAATAGCCCGGCATCCCTCACACTGACAGTGTGGCTTCTGCCACCAAGAGCCAGCAGAGATCCTGCCACCACGGCAGTGGTGCAGGGCTGCCAGATTCACACATCTTTCCTTTTGTCTGCCTTCCTCTTCCCCAGTCCCTGCCGTACATCGACATCAAAAGGTGCTGCAGACTAATTATGGGTTCATCAGGTTTGACACATCAGAAAGCTGAGAAAAGTGCTGCTAGTAAAGAACTCAGAGGGAAGGGAGCGTGCACGGGATGTTCAGATGGTGATGGAAAGAGCTCGCGTGGCATTAAGGGATGGAGAATCTACACCCCCCTGCACCAGATAGCCCAGCACACTCAGGCAACCAGGCCACTTTTCTAGGGAAAAAGCTGAAATCCCCTTTGAAGAGTCCTAGGATGATTCCCAACCAGTGATTCCCATTTCTGCTCTTCCCTGAGCTGCTCATCATTAACCGATTCGAGTCCTGGAGACTAATGGCAGGGAGACAGGGAGGTGCTTGCCAGTCTTCTGATGGGGGACACAAAGACAATAGGGACAGTGTGAAACTCTAGTTCATGGCTACAACATGCAGTACCTCTCCCCACCCTGGGTGGGGTGAGGGAAGACACAAAAGCAGAGATCTGATGATCCTTCAAGCCTGGGCTCTCTGAACGGTGCAGACAGCTTGGTGACGTGTTGTCCGAGGTGTATTTTCCTGAGGTCACGCGTTTGTCCCTGATTCTGGAGCAGGCTCTCCACCATCCTTCTTTCCCGACTAACAACGTTGTCTCCCTCACAGGAAATCGTCACCATCGTGGTGTTTGGGGTGGAATACTTTGTGAGGATCTGGGCGGCCGGCTGCTGCTGCCGATACCGGGGCTGGAGGGGAAGGTTAAAATTTGCCCGCAAGCCTTTCTGCGTCATCGGTAAGACCTCCTTCCCTGCATGAGATTCCCCAAACCACGATGGCCACTGCAAGCAGTTGCTTGCACGGGGCTCTGGTGTCTTGCATGCATTTTGGGGGTTGATCTTCAGCTGCTTCGTGGTCAGGAAAAAGCACAAAGGCAGAAGTCCTAATCCACGGATGTGTTTTTCGTTATTCATCACGGCGCGTTCCCTGTTTTCTGCCAACCTGGGAGCCATCCCAGTGCCCTGTGTACCTCAGGCATCGCTGACAGCTGCCCAGAAAGGGGGTTTAGCCAGGAGAAGCTGAGCATAAGAACTGGGATCCTGCAATCCTGTGTCCAACCTCCGCACCGAATCGTTCACGAGTCACTGAAGCTCGGTGTGTCACTTTGCCTTCCCTGGTGCTGATGAGCTGCCTCACAAGGGAGTTATGAGACTTAATTAATTCTTGTTTGTAAAGTACTCGGTGAGCCTCCTGTGAGAGGGGCCATCTGGGCACAGCAGTGATTTTTTTCTGGGATAAGAAATGGGCAGAGAGGCCATGCCCTTCGCTATGGAAGCTGCCTTCAACTGTCCAGGAGCTGGCAATGGTCATATGCAGGATTTGATCTTATTCCACAGAAAAAGACTGCTATAAAATTTGCATAGAAAATTAGGGAAGAGGAAGGTTTACCGAATCTTCCTGTATATAGAGAGAAAGGCTTTTTTTCTTGGCCTATTTCTTGGTCTTTGTCTGTGAGCACCTTAGGACTGCTATGGAGGACCTGGAGATTTTCATTCCCAATTTAGATGGTGTAATTCCCAGCTTTGTGTAACAGGCAGCTATGGCTGATAAAAAAAAAAGGCCAAGCATTTTGCAAGGATTTAACCCAGTTTAGCAGTGTTAACACTGAATCATATCAAAATTCGCAGTATTTGACACATTTTTTATGGATGATGAGCGTGGAGAAGGAAACCAGGATATTCCACAAGGTGTGTAGTAGCTCCTTTCATCCAATTTAAGATTAATGCTATGTCCTTCCAGCGCAGAATACAAGTGACCAGGAGATCATTCTCATGCACAGCCTTCTGCTGCCCGAGGCAGTGGGAATTCCATCCCCTTTGGTGGTGGCCCAGCAGCACTCCTTCAGCTTTCCCTGCCCTCTGTTCCTGCAGACATCATGGTGCTGATTGCATCCATCGCCGTGCTGGCAGCGGGGTCCCAAGGGAATGTCTTTGCCACCTCAGCACTCAGGAGTTTGAGGTTCCTGCAGATCCTGCGCATGATCCGCATGGACCGGCGGGGCGGCACCTGGAAGCTCCTGGGCTCTGTGGTCTACGCACACAGCAAGGTGAGCAGGTCCCAAGCAGGGACATCGAGTTGCTCTTGGTGTTCCCTCCCCCACAGAGGCACTGCTTTGGTTCAGTTCTCCTTCCCAGAGCTCTCCCAGGCCTGAGGAGATCGGAAAGACACCGTAGGTAACACGGGAAGGGATGCAGAGTCAGGGACAAGGTCTGATGGAGCGCTTCGACCAACCAAGGAGAGAAGGGAGAGAGAGGTTCCAGTCACAGAACTGATCCCTGGTATAAGGTGATCGGTTTGGGAAGAGTTTGTTGATAATTTTTTGTTTACTGCTTCTGAATTTGTGAATTTAACATTTCTCCTGTTTCCTGCACTTTTTTTCCCCTGAAAAGCTTAGTCACCTTAGCCAGAACTATCACAGGGAATTTGTGGGTCCCTTTTGTCCACCCTTGCATTAACCTAATCCAAAAATAATCACTTCTGCGAATTCTGAATTAAAAATCCTCTGCAACTGGGGTATATTGCATCCAGACCCCAACTTTGCAGCTCCTCCTCTGTAAGTAGAAGCCCTAAGGATTTGAGGATTCCTATTTCAGTTCTAACTATGTGAATTGGGGAAATGCTAGAGTTTTTTAAGTCTCAGGTCCATATCTTGCAATAATGGAGCTATTAAATGCCCTTCTCCATTTGCTGTATGTGTTTAGATGCTGGGGTCTTCAGGACAGGGATTGCCCCATGTGCTTGGCAGAGCCACCACCTCATGGTCCCATCTCAAAAAAGTGTCATTACTGGCCTCTAACCAAAGCCCTCAAACCTAAATAAATGCAGGGAAAGTTCAGATCCAGCCGCAATCAAGTAACTCAACGTTCAGAGATGCGCACCAGGATTGCAATTATTCTCTTCTTTCCTTTAATGATCTCGCAGGAGCTGATTACTGCGTGGTATATTGGCTTCCTGTGCCTCATTCTGGCCTCTTTCCTGGTATACTTGGCCGAGAAAGGAGAAAATGAGCACTTTGATACATACGCAGATGCACTTTGGTGGGGTCTGGTAAGTAATTTTCTTAGAACAGCTGCTGGTTATTAAAATAAAACGTCCATTAACCCTCCATCTTCTATCACTTACGTGAGGTATCGACTTACAGAGTGCTTAGTTAACATTTTTATTAAATGGCTTTGGGCTGCTCCATTTAGCTCTTTTTCTTATACAAACCTCATAGAAAACGTTAAAGGATCACATTTCTGCATTAGCTGGAGCTGCAGGGGAATGGGGCACTCACGTGCTCCCAGCTGTGGGATTTAGCTCTGTCGTGACAGCAGAGGCAGGTCAGACAGAGACCCCACACTGCTTTGATCATTGTTTTGACAAGTATTGCTGCCCTTTAATTATTTAAATTGCACTTGGGCAAGGCGCTGTTAAACACGCAGGAATAAAGTTTATAAAATTAATAGGGTCTAAGTACCAGAAAGACTCCAGCGGGGCGAGCACTCCCCTTCACATCTCTGCTGACAGAGGAGGAAAGGGCAATACTTTTGGTTTGCTCTGTGTGTGCGTGTGCATGTGAATTATTGGATTACTCGATTAACAAAGAGAGAATTAATGACGTTCTAATCTTCTTGCGTTATTGTTCTTCTGCTCCATCACTAGTTTGGCCTTGATTACAAAGCATGTAATGAAAATCCCCGATCTGATCAAATCCCAATAACAGGCTTGGGGAGGAATCGGCTGATCAAGCAGCTCCTCTGTTCCAACAAAGGGGAAAAAAGCAGTAAATTGCTTTTAAAGTCCCTTAGTTATGACAAAAAAATAAAAACAAAGCCCAATTTGACATAACCAGAAATTAAACAATGGGGGAAAAGTGACAGCCCAGATTAGAGCTTAGTCTGGGGAGAACTATTGGCAGATTTATCCCTCCTGTTTCCCAGGCTCTGCAGGCCTTCAACAGAGGATCACTGCTCTGCCTTTTGGGATGCAGAGATGCACCAGACTGTTTTGCCACTGAGAAGCACAGAAAAAAAATTGAGCCTCATTAAAATAAGTAGTTTCTGTCATTGTCCATCTCATGGTTCCAGTACAGGCAGATATTAAGAGATGGGATAAATCAAATTTCAGGCTCATAAACTCATCCCTTTGTTGATCTTGCTGCACCCAATCCTTGTAGTTGTCTGTAGAAATTATAAAAAAATTGTAAACCAATTTTGCAGTGTTTATGGAGAGAGCATTGCTCTGACTTTGTTTCAGTAAGAAGGAGGCATGTAGATGCATTTTTTAACCACTTTGTCAAAATAGCATCTAATTGATAAGGCTTTTAGTGGGTCTAATTAAAGGGCGCTTTGAGATCATACTTCCATTTGTGTAAAAGTGATTTTATTCTGAATGAAATGCACATTTCCAATGCCACATCAGCGTGCTGTCAGCTGCCATCCCTGGGGCCAGCTCTGTCCATGGAGGCTGTGGGACAGAGACACTTCCATGTGTCACAGGGACCTTTGGGATCAGAAGTCTCAAAGATGTTTCTAATCAGACCACTCCCCGCTACCTTGCCCTGGCAGACCCAGGCTCTCCAAATCCTCTTGGAAGCCCTGGGGGAATACCCAGCATGCTGATGTCTGTGGACTGAAGTGGGTAAAGGTGTCTTCTCCTGCAGTTTGACATTCAGGGGATTCTGTCTCCAAAAAATCGCTCAGATCTTTCCCCAAAATACAGACAGCAACTTGCCAGATCTCTGTTGCCGCACTGCAAAAATGCTGAGGAGGGGAAAAAACATTCCTAAATGAGGTGGTATGAAGGAGCTATAATTCATCCTCTTGGTCTAATAGGCTGTTTTTAAACAGGAAGGGAGACCAGCTAATAGGCACTGCTGGGAGGATTGGGAACAGGCAGAATCAGGTCTTTATGCATGCAAATAGCCCTGCCTGTTTTCCTGAGATGCCGAAAGGGAGTTTGGGGGAACGGTGCGGGTTCGCTTCCCCTGCCGAAGGCACAACCCCTTCTCCCGGGGGAGGTTCCGAGCTGCCGCCAGCCTCTGCACCAGATGGCAGCTCTCTCCGTGACAGCAAAAGGCACAGAAAATGCTCCCAACTGGTGTGAAAACCCAGCACGTGAGCAGGGCGGGTGTCGGGGCATCCGCATCCTGCAGGGTTGCCCATCCCTGCTCGGTCCTCCGGGTCCCCGAGCTGCGCCTTCCCTTGGTCAGCTCAGGGCACGCAGCGATCCCGGCTCCTCCATGTCCCTCCCGCTCGAGTGTTGCGGGGGTTTTGGCCGTGTCGTTTCAGTTTTAAGGCTGTCTGACCAAGGGCTGGGCACTGATCTCCTCCCTGCAGATCACTCTCACCACCATCGGCTACGGGGACAAGTACCCGCAGACCTGGAACGGGCGGCTGCTGGCGGCGACCTTCACACTCATCGGCGTCTCCTTCTTCGCCCTTCCTGCCGTAAGTGGGACGGTGCTGGGAGTGAGGTCTCACTGGGAGGGGGTCTGACCTCACCTGTCCCTTATCCCCAGCCCCTGGAGCTGGTGCCGCTGCAACAGCTGCATCCAGCAACGCTATGCACTCTCCTGGCTGCAATGGTCTGTGGCTCTTGAATCAAAAAAATTAGGGAGAAAAGGGCAAACCCTGTCTGAATATCCACAGCTGGGGCACTTTGAGCAAACGGGGTGGAAATTCTAGATTTGGCTCTGCACAAATATTTATTGGAGCAATATAAAGGATTTTTTTCCCTCAGAGGGCTGTTCTTGGGGGTAATTAATAGCTTTAAACTGAAAGAAGGTAAATTTAGATTGGCTATTAGGCAGCAATTCTTCCCTGTGAGGGTGGTGAGGCACTGGCACAGGTTGCCCAGAGAAGCTGTGGCTGCTCCATCAAGGCCAGGCTGGACAGGGCTCTGAGAAACCTGATCTAGTGGAAAGTGCCCCTTTCCATGGCAGGGGGGTGAATGAGATGAGCTTTAAGGTTCCTTCCAACCCAGACCAGTCTGTGATTCTGTGATTACACCGTTTCAGCAAATCACTCGCAGATGTATTTCAGAGTGTTGCACTGATCTGGATCCCCATGGGGATAATTTGATGAATGCCAACACTCTGGGGTTATTTTGTGTTTTATCAGCTGGCTGGAGGTGGTTTGGGAAAAGCTGCAATTCCAGTGGATGCCAGCAAATCTACTGCCCCTTGGAGAATGTCTGCCAAGGCTGCTGGGGTGGAGGCTCCTTCCTTCCTCTGTGTTTGAAACAAAAACTGAGCCAGAAAAAAAACTTTGGAGGGAAAGCTGGCCACAACTTTCAAGTGAAAGCTGAGCTAAACCCCTGCTAACTGCAAATTGTTCTCTTCCAGGGCATCTTGGGTTCGGGGTTTGCTCTGAAGGTTCAAGAGCAGCATCGACAAAAACACTTTGAGAAGAGGCGAAACCCAGCAGCGGGCCTGATCCAGGTGAGGATCACATCCAGGGAGCCTTGGGGTTACATTGTCCTGGTTTTGGGGGGCTTAACAGACTTTTAGAAGTTGGGGAAGAAATGGGCTGGTGAAAAGTGGGGCCGTGTGTTTAAGGTGTGAGACAGCAGCTGGTGACTGGTTTTGTCTGGGAATAAATGCCAGGAAATCAACCATGGGAAAATAGCATATGTGGCAGGGAATCTAGGGGAGAAAAGGAATGAAATTCAGCCCAGCACAGCAAGACAAATGCATTAGGACAGTCTGTTTTCACTCATTCTTCTTCCCCAAAGAGAATATTTATACTCATATAAAATTACAATTGGGAGCATTTTCTTCATGATAACAGATGTCCGTGCAGAAGGTTGGCCTTGGTGTACATCTTGGAGATTTGAAAGTAGTCATTTTACATTCCCCTGCTCCTCTCTTTCCAAATTTTTAACTCCTTAATAGGCAACAACACCCACTTCATCCTTGCCCTCAGCCTGCCGGTGTGCGTGCCCGAGACCCACAAAATTTTTAACCAGGCTCACATGGTGAGGAGCATCATGGTACCACCCCAAATTTGTCATGTATCAAATCAAGGAAGGGGCAAAAATGCTGGATCCATCCCATAGAAAACAGAGGGAGGAGTCAGAGTTGGCTGAGGTTTATAAACCTGAGGGTGGTGTTGCTCATGCCTGGGCCCACAACCCCACTGTGTCTTGTCCCCCACAGGCGGCTTGGAGATTTTATGCCACCAACCTGTCCCGGACGGACCTGCACTCCACCTGGCAGTACTACGAGCGCACCGTCACCGTCCCCATGTACAGGTACCTCCTCCTCCAGCTTCCTCTTCCACTGCCTTCCTCGTGATGCCACTGCCTCCATAGTTATTTCCGTTATCTGGATATATAGTTTCATTTATTTGTTTCTGGGTTTTTTTTCATTGAAAAAGTTGATTTCAAGAGGCTCTTAAGGGCCGGTGTATGCTTTGTCTTTCGGAATTTTTTTTGCTTTGTATTTTTTGTTGTATTTCTTTTTGACTTGATTTTAATTTTCATGTTGCCTTTTTTTTTTTTTTTTATTTCCATGTCTCTGTGTGTTGTACATGCTCTTCTTTTCCCCTTTATTTCTCCATGTCTGCTGGTAGTTGCATTGTGTTGTGACAGTTGCCGTGCCCAGGTGTGAAGACCTCCCTCCAAGCTGCTCTGGATCGTAGGTAAAAGCTGCCCTCACCCTACTTGCAGCTCCTCGTGCCCTTCCAGGCTCTCCTTGCTGATCCAACTGGTCTCTAATGGTCCTTCTGCCTTTCAGCAAACTTTTCTCCCTCCTTTGACCAGCCTGGTACTCTCCTGGGTGCATTTGCCCTGTGTCCTCCTTTCCTTTCCTTTTTTTTTCTCTGAGATGAGGAAAACCAACTCAGGATTCAGTGAGCGTTTTCCCATTTCTTATATTTCATTTATCCATCCCAGTCTGTTGACAGGAGTAGGGAAGGATGGTGGAGCCTTGATGGATGAGGCAGATAAACACCACTGAGTTTTGGCAGCATCCATCTGCCTTGCTTTACCTGCTCTACTTATTGTACCCAGGCATTTTGTTAAGGTTAGAGCAGTGCTGTGGGAATTCACAGCCTCTTGGGATTTGGAGTTTCATGGAAGTGGGGACAGAGTTCCCTGCCATACCTCAATGCCCTCTGGGACATGGGGAAGTACTGCATCCTTTATGTCCCTCTTGGGCTTGGTGGTATCTAAGTAGGAGGCTTCCTCAGAAGCTAAAATGCACAGTGTTGCTATTCATTTTCACCCCACACTGCCCTGCGTCCTGCATCCCTTTCTGGTGTGTTTTTGGGGGCTACCCAGGTCCCTCTGGGTTTGTAGCGGGGTTAAACATGTTGGTTAGATGTTCCTGTGGGGTTTTGTTGGGCCTGGTGGGGCTCCCTGTGCCCCATCTCCCTGCTCCCACACAGGGCTGTGGTCCAGCACTGGGTTGTGCCAGTGCAGGTATCATCCCTTCCTGATTTTTCCCGTGTTACTGGTGTCTTTTAGCCCTTGGGCAGACAGTCTGGATGTATTTCCTGGGGTAAGCATTAGTATATATTTAAAACACAGCAGCCAGCCTCTTAATCCAGCATAAAAACCTGTTGGAAGTCACATTGTTGTGGTCAGTAAGTTTTTATTGGATTCATTCCCAGTGTGTGTCCGATTGGTTGCTTTTTCCCTGGAAATTGATGAGGCAACTTCAAGATTTTCTCTAAAAAACCCAAAACAACAACAACCCAACAAACCAGAACAAAGCTGTTTTCCAATAGCATTAAACTCACCCATTGAAGCTCTCCCTCCCAGTATCTGACCTTCTGGCTGGGATCAGCTACTGGAAAGGGTGAGGATGGAGCCTGGCCCAAAGTCCACTGCAAACTGCAGACACCCAGGGCTTTTTTTCAGTGGATTTTGCCAGGTTTTAATTCTCTTTGAACTACTGAACTTACCACGCAGCCAGACATGCAGTGACACCCTTTTGATTGCAGAGTACTGGGGTTATTTAATTACCTGTTACTTAATCCGCTCGTTAAAACCTGTATTTCCACGGAGCTGGTCCGCAGGAGGAGAACTAAGCTAAAGAGCTCCAGGAGGGGCTAAATAAAAACTTTAGGGAGGAGAAAGGGAAAAAAAATGTAGTTAAAAGAGCCCACTTGAGTAAAAAACCAGGACAGATGAGAAGCAGGGTTGTAGCAGTTTCGCTGGCTGATGCTGTGGGTGCTGCTCAGCCCCACTCTGCAGTGTCACCCTGGGCTTCCCTAGGCACGGGTTTCACTGCAGTCCCAGCTTCTCCCTTAAATCCCAGCTCCCAAGTGAGTGAGCTGTGGGTGCACTGATGGATTCAGGCATTAGTTAAACGGCATTTTTTACCAGGAAAGCAGTGAACACCTGAATATATTTTGGGTGCACTCGGATAAATTAATTGGATTTTTTTTTTTTTTTAAAAAGGGAATAACTGTATGTTCTGGCTGCAGCTTCTGTCACTCACACTGACCATCTCTCCTTGCCCACCCACTTCCCTGAGCTGGCTGGCAGGGGCTGGCAGCCCTGTGCTGGTGCTGGTGCAGCTGTGGCAGCACGTCAAGCCCAGCACCACATTAAAGTGATGGCTGCTGACACGTGTCTGCAACCCACGGTGTGGTTTGGAAGTGGGTTGGAGGAACACAGCATCCCCCTCCCTGGTGCCCCGGGGGTGATCTGCAGTCACCAGTACCTTGGCACCCTTTCTGCTCAACATCAGGCTGCTTATTCCTCATAGCAGGAGCCCTGTGCCTTTAGCTCATCCCTCTTCCCAAGGCATCTCTGAAAAGGCGTGGCTGCTTGATATGAGCAAATTGTTACACATGCCTTGGAGGAGCTCACGTGGCTCCAGAACATCACTCAAATCACTGCAGTAGAGCTGCTCTAACTTGTTTGGGGAAAATATGGTGGCTTCTTAGAGAATCTCAAATTTAACCTTTAAATACAAAATGTGGTAGAACCAAATCTGAAATATGCACAAGGCTTCATTGTGAGCAGGTGTGGCTTGGGTTGTGATGTGTGGGTAGCTTGGTGCACTCAGACATCCTAACCTGTTCTGCATCAGCCACTGGATTTACTGGGAAAAAAAGTTTGCTCTCGTTGTCATTCATGAGAGCAGAGCCTTGATCTCAACTACATTCACATACTGGCCTTCACTAAAAAAACCCACAAACCCATGGGGCACATCCTGCCCACGTCAGCAGCCCAGCCCGAGGAGCTCCTGGCTGGTGGGACCGAGGGCTGTGGATGTCCCATGGAAGGTCTCTGGGAGGCCCCCACACTTTCCCTGCTCTGTGGTGCCAATTTGCTCTTGGAGCAAGGTGCCAGCTGCCTGTCCCCGAGGGTGACACGGGTGTGTGGTGGTTTCTGAGCCAGCCACAGCGGGAGCAAGCTCAGCCCACGCTCCCGTGCTCACCTGTGAGCCTGGCCACAGCATCTGCTCCCGGGGAGACACTTCGTTCATATGCTAATTTTCTTTATTCTGTTTCTTTTTCCCCTTTCCTCCACCCTGCCTCTTCCCCCCCTGTTTTTCTTTCTCTTATCCCTTTGGTTTTCTTTGGTGAAAACTCTTGAAAAGCACGCAAACGCAAACGTATGGTGCCTCCAGGTATGAAGTGCATGTGACTCTGAAAGTGTGTGTCATGTCACTCCTTGTTCTTCATTTGGGACTGTAATATGCAAAGCCTTGAATTAAAAAAAAAAAAAAAAAAAGAAAGAAAAAGAAACCTCTGAAGATGAGTTTTTTCAAAGGAATGAGTGAAAGCCCAAAGCAGACGCCCCCTCCTGCTGCTGATAGACTAACCCCATGCACCTCCATGGCCGTTTTAGCTATTGGTACACTCAGGTGTTGGGAAACTCTGCCAAAATGGTGATGTAAGGAAGGAGAATGGTAGAGTACTTGATAAGCTTGCTTTTTTAAGGATGATTTCTTGATGGTCTTACCCCCCTCCTCCAATCCATGCAATGCTTAACAGGGAGACGTCCCCGTTCATACTTCCATTTCCCTCTGCCATCACTCCTTCGTGTTCCCTTTCTCCAGCCCTCTTTTCCCACCCTTCATTGTGTCATTTTTCTGGCTCTATGCTGCAGGAGCTGTGCCCACCCAGTAATGCTGGCTTTGCTGAGTTTGCTGGTGTGGTGGCACCATGGGACCCATCAGTGGGAGCACAGAATAAAATCTCCACAGCAACTGTGCCTGCTTTTGAGGACAGCATGTGGAGGAGAGAAAGATCTGAGATGCTAAACTGAAATAATCATTCATTTCTTTGAGTAATCCAGTCTGATTTTTGGGAAAAAGATGTTTCATCTCAGCAGGACTTTTCCATTTCAGCTTTTCCTTCCAAGACCGACCTAGAGCCAAGCAGTTATTAGCCACAGTTATTCAATCTGGGACTTAACCTTTTGGGACCAATCCAAATGCAAAGACCTGGATGTGACTGTGTAAGATTTATGATAAATAACGTTATCTCAGGTTCTGCAGAAAGGAGTAGATTTGCAAATCACAGGCATATTTTAAATGAGATGGGTATCTGAAGGTATAGTCAAGTTAATATTTTAAGATGGGGAATAAATGACTTGCATTTCAAGACTGCAGGTCAAGCTCTCGTTTTAGAGCAGTTTAAATCCTCACTAGAGGCAGTAATGCCATTAGAGCTGATGTGATTTCGTGTCTGATTTCCAAACCCAGCTCCAGTTTTCACAGATGTAAGTTTTATAGCCTTAGTAAATCACACTTACAGCTTTGTGTGCTTAATTTACACCAAATTGCATCAATGAACTGCAAGTATAATGTTAAAAATATATTTTCCTGTTCTGCTGAACAACAGTCTGTTTTGAGAATCAGACATTTTTCTACTGCTGGGAGTGAAATAAGAATGTTCCACTTCCATCCCATTTGTTGTAATAGAGTATTTTATGAGTTTCATAAATGTTCTCAGTTATGAAAAATAGCTTTAGCCAGAGACATAAAGTCATGGTTAAGGGAAAAATTGGCTGCTCATAGGAACTCTAGCATAGCATGGAGACTCATTTAGGCCCCCATCCCATTCCAGCATCCATCTCCTTGCCACCCTCTCCCTAACTGTTCCTACTGGGACTGTTCAAAAAAATCATCGTTGTCTCTGTGTGCGTGTCGTGGTGTGTGTGTGTGTCTGTGTACGCTCCCCCCTGTGTTGTGTCCTGCTGCCCTCCTCGTGTTGTGGGGTTCTGGTGGTGTCGTGGCCCGAGGCATGATATCCCCACTGTCCCCTAATGCTTGACAGTTGTCTGTGCTGCCAGGAATAGCAGGTCTGCCTTCCCTCTGGATGTGGTAGCTGGCACCCGGAGTTACTGTGACGTTTCTCTGTGCTCCTCTGGGCGGGGTGATGGGAGCAGCTGTGGGTTCCCCTGGGTCCCCTGCAGCAGTGGTTTTGTGGTGGGTGGCATGAGCTGTGTGTGTTCCCTGGTGTGCAGAGCTCCTCACCCAGCTCCCCCTTAACCAAAACGTGCTTCCCTTGCTAACAAGTGACACACGGACCAGGAGGAGAGAGAGAAAACGTGAGGCGCCCCAGCCAGGGGTGCTTTCTGCACGTCTCTGGAGGACACGGTGGCACCTGCATCACCTGCCCCCTGGGCACACACACCAGGGCAGGGGGCCATGCATCCAGCATTTCATAGCAAAGCTCAGTTAAAGAGCTGTGCAGAGTTCTGCCTTTTTTTTGTTTGTTTGTTTTTGAGGATCTGGAGAAATGGTGCGATGCAGCAGCTGTTCCCCAGGCTGCTCTTGCAGTGACAGGTTAGGCTGAGCATTTAATTGAGATTAAATTGAGATTAAATTGAGTACATGGATGAGTTTACACCCATTTTTAATAATTATTATTATTATTGTTTCAGTAAAATATTGCTTATTTCCATCTCATGTTTACCAGGCCCATCAACCAACCACAGAAATGGTGGATTTCTGTGTTTGCTGTGTCTTTGTACCTTTGCATGGAAACATGGCCACCAAGAGGTGGTCACTTTCAGCACAGTGCAGACCATGGGCTAATGCAAAAGAAGTAGCTCCTTTTGGAATCCTGAATCCTTCAATTTAGTGAGCTGATGAGCTCTTCAGCTGAGACTTGCATGAGTGAGAGCCCTGGATTTGTGATCCCAGCTGGAGAAAGTAGGGCTGTGTTCTGCTGGGTATGGACCTCCCTGAGAAGGTAACTCACCAAAGAACAGTTGTGCATCCTTCATTAGCTGCTGAGTACACTTTGTGCTTGATTTTATGCACTACCTCTCCCATCTTGGAATGAATCTCCAACCCCTACGGTGGTTTTGAAGGGAGGTAACAGCCCAGCACTCATGCACTGCTCCACTGAACCAAGGTCGGCTTCATCCTGATGACTGGAGTGAAGAGGATCATTAATTCAGCAGATCAGGATGTGCTTTTCTCTGGATGGAAGCGAACAGAGCTGGACTGGGGAGCTGAGCCAAAATGTTCAGGCCTATTTTTATTCTTTTCTCCATACTTAGAATTGGAAAATTTTCTGATTGCCTCAATCTTGTGAACACCAAATCTCTGCTGAGCAACTGTGTTTTTGAGGATAAGTTTCGTGCATGCAGAGGAGAAGAGGCTTTTCCAGTTGCTTGTGTTTTTGTTTTTTTTTTTCTGAAGTGTAAAACTACTGGTCTCATAATGGCTGAAAAAATGTGGGCATGAATATCTCTGCCTTTATTTTACAGTAAGCAGGAGCCCCATTTCTTCCAGCACCTCAGCTGAGACCAGCCTGTTAGTCTGCAAGCCCCTGCACTCCTTTCCTTCCCATCCTGAGCTGCAGTTTTGGGACAGATTGAGTAGACCCTTCTTGCTTCCATTGAAACCTACATGGCTCATTTTTAAGCAAAGTCATAAGTACAGGCTGCCTTGGGGCTGTGGCACTTTGGGTTGTGGTGGATGTGGGCAGGCACAGGCAGCCTGTTCCCAGGTCCTTCCCTTCATCCCTGAGACACTTGTCACCAGCATGACCCGAGGCAGCTGCTGTGCTGACCCTGCACCCTCTGGGCACAGCGGTGCCATGTGGCACTTCCACAGTTTGACAAGGGCACGCTGGTGGCCCGGGGAGGATTTTGCAGCCAGTCATGAGATGAGCCCCATTGGCCTTGACCCTGAATGCAGAGCCCCCAAGTGAGCTCTTAAGCAGATGCTGCTCTTCCCAGCCGTGTGCAGCATTCTCTGTCCTCCCCCCCAACGCCTCCAGCTTATGTTTCTCTTGGTTGAAAACCTGGCTGTGAATGTCAGCATTAAATATTTATGGAGCAAGCCTCAGCCTCTCAGGGTCTGAGGGAAGAAACCAAAAGTGGATGTAGGAGCTAATTCAATGGCTTTTAGCACAAAAGCAGGACAGGCCACAGGGTATTTGTTCTTTGGGTTTTTTTTTCAGTTATTAACCAGGATTCCCACCATCAGGTTCTTTTTTTGTAACTGAGAAAGGAAGGAAGCCCATGGTTCCTAGAAGGCAACGATACAGGATTTTGCCTAATTCTAAGGCAAAACCTGACATGGACAGTAAAGAATTGGTTAAACTTGACCCTGGAGCACACTACTGTTTCTCCTGGGATGGCCACAACCTGAGGTCCCTGTTTTCTCTGCCCCATAAGCTGCTCCTTCCCCTGCCTCCCCACATTCCCAAGAGCAGCAGGGTTGATTTTTCCCATTTTGCCCCAAAACTGGAGTTTCTCTCCACTTAGCACACATCCAAAGTGCTGACCTCCAGCGACAGCAATGCCAACCTGCCAGACTACAAGTGGTGAAACAGCTCTGCCGAAACACCACTGGGCTGCCCAGGAACCCTGGCAGCCACTTGGTTTTTGGGAGGTTCAAAATCCAATGGTGCAGACAAGTTTCTCTCTCTCTCTCTTGCTGTCTCTTTCTCTCTCTTACCCCACTGCTCTGCCTTAGGACACTGCTGGAAGCAGCAGCCAAATCCCTCTCCATCCTTCCTGAGCTGTTCCCCAGTTGCAGTTGATGGCACAAAGCTGGTTCTGGTTGAAAGGATGGGGCAGCAGGGGAAGTTGCCAAGGCAGGAGGCTCTGGAATCAGCTCTGTCTGTATATTAATGGTTTTTGTTTTCTCCCTCTAGACTAATCCCTCCTCTGAACCAGCTGGAGCTCCTGAGGAACCTGAAGAGCAAGTCGGGACTGACATTCAGGTTAGCAAGAGTTAAGAGAGTTTGGAAAGCACGCACTTTGCAACCTTTTTTTTTTCTTTTCTTTTTTACCTTCCTGGCTTTTGCATACAGACAGCCTTGAAGATGTGAGAGGTTTGACAGCTGGTCCCCCATGGGTCCTTCAGTGACCTCCTCCCTGTCCCTCTCCAATGCTCTACATGAATTCCTTCAGCCTCACTTGGCTCTGGAGCAATGTCACAGTGCTTGACTGACAAGGAAAAGTTGTATTCTCAAAGAGGGTGATTGAGGTAGTTTTCCCAGCTTTCCTCTGACCTTTTTGCTCTTCAACACCCTCAGAGGAGATTCAGGCCCACAATGTGTTAATTCGTTCTCTGTTCCCTCCAGTGAGTGCAGACAAGGTTGCAGCAGTGAGAGACTTTTGCTAAATTTTGCTGTGGTAAGGTATACGAGATTCTCCCAGAAGGCCAGGAGTCCTGCAGCTTCACCCTCTGCTCAGGAGGGGTAATTCTTGGAGTTTTCAGCAGTCAAGGCTGCCCTGTTGGTGAATGGGGAGCCTGCAGACCCTGGGAGGGATGGAGAGATGCTGGCTGTGGTGGTGGGCATTGGGGCCCACTGGGGATGCACGGGATGGGACCTACCCTGGGCTGTGTGCCTCAGCAAAGAACAGAGATCTGTAGACCCCGGGTCAGCCTGAAAGCATTAAGATATGAGTATTTGAGCTAGTGACTGAGGCTGGGCTTCCAAGCTTTTCTGAGCGAGGAGCAGAGGGTGGAGGGGGATTTTTTTAGTCTCTCCAGCTGCTGCCTTTAGCCAAAGGGAGAGGGGTCAGGGTCTGTGCAGGTCTCAGCAGTCGCTGCTGAGTAGTGGCAGGGCCAGGGCTGGTACAGCATCATGCTCAGAGAGCATCTGTGTTAGGGAAGACAGATCTGTATCTGCTGAGAAACACAGTCTGTTCCCTCTCTTGGGGGGCTGCAGGGGCAAGGCTGATTGGGGTCCCACACTAAGTGCAATTCCCCATTGTGTAGAGGTTGTGAATTGGAGTAGTTGAAGGCAGAACAGGTTTTCCTCGTTGCTGGAGGGAAATGCCACCACAATGCCTGGTCAGTGAAGGTGAGATATTTTTTTCAGTGTGACCTTAGTGTGTCTTGCAGTGTCGTGACTGCCCTTTTGTAGGTGTTCAGCTCACTTTGTCCTCAGTGATTTTTCAGGGCAATCAAGTTTGGGATCTCAGTAGGAAACCACATACAAAAATTCTGGCATCCCATTCCCTCCATGTAGCCTTTGCCAGTTACTTTGGTAAAGTAGCTGCCAAAGGCTTTGGAGGCAGAAACCCCACCTGGGGTGTCAGGATGTCAGGGCAGGGTTCCGTGATCCTTCCCACCCATGTGCCCCTCCCGGCACCCTGCGTTGGCACTGCGGCATGAATCCATGATCCGGAGATCTGACATTGGCTCTGTCCCAGTGGCCAGGGAGGGAAAAGAATGCAGGACCATGGGAGCCATTCAAACCCTTCCCTATGTGCAGAAACATCAGGACAGTGCAATTCCAAAGGAAGGGGGCCGCTCTCTGAGCCCACAGAAGTCCTCCTGTGCTCACACAAATCACACGACCCTCAGGTGTCTCAGTCCTGCGTAGGCACAAGGATGGGTTGGGATAAACTCTTCAACCCTGTGCGTTGTATGTGTCTTCTCTGAGGTTGTGTGAGTCTCCAGTGATCTTCTGTCCAGGCCAGAAACTCCAGGAATTAAGCGCTCCTTTCCCTTTCTTCTGTCCACAACTTCCACTTAGTTGTATTGTTTGGTATTGTCGTTTCGTTCTGTTTTAACAGTGAAGCAGCAACATCTTTTTGCCACCTGACACCATGCTAATGTACTATTGCTTCTGTTTAAAGGAAAGAGCAGCAGCCCGAACCATCGCCAAGGTCTGTATCACTGCCAACACGCCATTCCCATGCATTCCCTGTAGATTTCTGTGTACGTGTGTGTGTGTGTGTACCATGTCGTGGCGCCATCGAGGGAAGCATTCTAGGTATTGACGTGCTTGTTCTGTGCTGTGCCAGTCCAATGTATCCACGTGTATGCTGGACCTTAAATCATATCCTCCTTCCAGTCTGCCTCGGGCTGTAGCTGCGAGGGTAGTGAGGCTGCGGGAGGTAGGGAGAGTGGTGGCAGCACGGGCAGAGCTGGCAGACACTCACCCGGGGTGACAGCAGGGCTTTGGTTTATGCTTCTTTATTTTATTTCGTTGCTGGAGTCATAGCTGGAGTAGCATAACACGGGCTCAACGTGTGCCGATGGGTGGGTGATGCTTTGCCCGTGTCTCCATCACCCAAGGCTGTGCTGGGCAGAGGTGACATGGGAACACGAAACCATCACCGTGTCACCAAGTCAGCAACTTCTCCTGAGCTCCTCTCGCTGCAGGGCACTGCACGGGGCCGCGCCTACCTGCTGCTCCGTGGGACACAGGAGGGCTCTCTGACACGGCGCAGCGTGGCATGTTAGAGACACCCCTTCTCCACCCCCTTCCCTCTGGATGAGGCACAGTCCCTGCTCCATCTTCCCTCCACGCCTCGAGTCCACGACGCAGAGCGTGGTCTGAAACGTAGCGAGCACTTTCCAAGGGCAGCCGTAAATCTCACCTATGGGAGAGCTTTCTGCTACTCATGTGTCCCAGGGAAAGCAACAGGGCTGGTGCTTGGGATACCCTTAGGATACTTTTCATCCTCTTAAAAGTGTTTGATTCTGGGATTTTTTTTTTTGTCCTATGTTTTCCCAGTTCTTTTAAGAAGTAATTCTGGGACTGAATCTCTTTTTTTTTCTTGGGTGAAGAGACACAGAACTGATGATCTGTGGAGATCATCTGCTTGAAAGCCCATCTCATACCTCAAAACATAGCTTACAGCCTAAATTTTCTCAACAATGAATGGCATTCTGCAGATGTACCTCTCAGCCATGCCTTTTAACTTATAAGAGGCCAGAAACTAATTTTTCTGTGGCATAAAAGCCAACCAAAGATAGCTGGGTAGATATGGTGCTGACTAAAGAGTGAAATTTAATCTTTCCTCCTTCCTTCCTTCCTTCCTTCCTTCCCCCTCTCCCCTCCCTCTTTTTTTTCTGTCTTTCATTTGAGCTTTTCTTTGCAAGCAGAACCTCTGTAGCATTCCATCCACTTTCCTGCCAAATAACCCAAATCTCCAAGATCATGTTTCAACTATCCAGATTTTTTTTTTCCTATTTGGGGTCTCAAGTGTAGCTTGAGCAAAGGCAGCCTCCATCCAGCATTAGTCTTATTTCTCAGGCACTAGTTTTATTTCTTATTTTTGAATCTCAGTCCTGTCTTACAGGGTTCATATTCACCAGTTAAAACATTAGGTTGTATACAATATTTCTTCGTAGAGGTTGCAGGTTTCTCCCTGTTCATTTTCTACATTGCCTTCTCAATCTTATGTCACAGAAAGAGGTAAAAATAGTCCTCCCCTGTCCTTTTCCAGAGTATTTTTTACTATATAGGACCTATATATAGGTCCTTCATCAGAGTCATTTTTAAATGCTGTTTCCTGCTGCTGTGGTGCATCTGTCTCTTGTGACACCGATGGGTTTTGTTGCTAAACCCAGACCCAGGAGGGCTTAAGCTGAGGGTCTGCAGCTGCTGTGTAAATAACATTAGAGTATGTTCTGTGTTGTTTAGTTCAGCTGCCATGGCAGCACCAAAGCTCTTTCCTTCTGTTTTGTTAGAACAATATCAATTCTACCTGCTCCCACTGTCCTCTTTCTGTCTGATAATGTCTCAGACCTCAGGAAGGAATTTTGCGTTAAGGGAGGACCAAATTACCTATTTTCCCCCAAAAAATTTTCTGGATCTTTTGCATTTACATCCCAGATCTTCCACCCACTTTAATTTCTAGCAGCCTCCTGGTGATGCTCAGTGTGTCATCCTGCCCTTAGAAAAGAGAACTCATCCTGTTTCTCTGCCCACCCAATAGTTAATCACCCAGTCGCTGATGATGCTTCACTCAGGAAGCTCCTGGGGATGAATTGTCTCTCATAGCAGAAGCTTTTATTGCTTCAGCTGGTAAAGGATTTGCCACTCTCCATTTCCATTGCTGTAAGGAAACAGTCTAACACCTGGAGATAGCAGGTGTAGTGATATATAGGGAGTGGCTGATTTCCTATATCCGTCTTTCCATGATTGATACACCACAAAGTCCTTACAGCAAATGAAACAGAAAGAGTTTTCTCACTGTTTTGCATCTTAATGTATTTTAAGTTTAGAGATTTAGAGAAGGGATGCTGGCACAGCTTTTGGGAATGTGCTGTGCAGGAAAAACATTGCCTTGTGAGGTCAACAAGCATCCCAAGCATTCTGTCAGCTCACAGGGTGGCTGTCAGTCATGCTTGTTCACAGTGGTGATGCTGCCCTCTGACCCCAGTGCTGCTGTGGCCGTGCTGATTTCTGCCCAGGCAGCACTCAGAGAGCTGCTGCCGAGGGTGGGAGGATGTGAGGTGCTGCAGGGGCTCAAGGTCACCTCAGGTGGCTTTTGATTTGGTCTTGGCATAAAACGGGACAGCTGATCTGAGAGACAGGTTACGTCCTTTCTCTGTTATTTCTGTTTTGTTTTCCACCACAAGCCTGTCTGAATCCATCCGAGACCAAGAGCTGGGAAAGCTCCTTGCTGACCTGCTCGGGGGCCAGGAGCTCACCTCCCCCAGGCGTGGAACTCAGGCTGTGAGGAGCAGAAAAGAGGCTGGCCTTTTTCTACGTGCTACATACCTCTTCCCCTGCTTTTATTTTCCTCCCTTTTTAAAACAAGTAAAGCTTTCAGGGCCTCCTGTTACCTGTTGCTTTGGGTGCTGTGTCCACCCTGCCATCTGCCCTGGCTGAGCAGTTGCCCCCTGCCCCTCCTCAGGCTGGCTGTGCTGCCAGGGCACTGAGAACCCATCACACCTCCGAGACCATTGCTGTCATGCAGGGTCCAAATCGAATCCTCTCTGCCTCATATCCCCAGGGAGGTGGGGCTGCTCTGTGGTGGTGCTTTCCTCACCCCTTCTGCTGCAGAAAGGCAGCAGAACAGACTGGTAATGGGGTGTGATTACTCTTCTGTTAATTAGGGGTGAAATTAGCTGTGGCATCTCATTTCTGTTTATTTTACTTTGATTATAATGTCAAAAAGACACATGGTTAGCCAGGGCTATGGAGGCTCCTGTACAAAATGTGGGCTTCAGATGCTCTTAAACAGATGGTTTGATAAACATCTGAAGGCATCCATGACCACATTTATTCCTCTTGTATTTTCCAAAATACAATGAGATGAAAAGCTAAAAATTAATGAGCCAAATGATTGTAATAATACATTAATATCAGAGAAAAAGAAACAGAAGGATTCCAGGGAACTGGGAAGCTAAAACTCAGATTACTTTGTCCAGCATGAGTTCAGTGCTGTAGGTAATGAGAAGAACCTCTTTGGAAGGTTGTTCTCAGCTGTGGTTTGTCCTTGACCCCAATGAACTCAGCAGGACCTTGGCCATGGATTGAGTGGATGCTGGACTGGGCCACCTTGTAACGTGTGTGTATATCTGTGTGTATATCTCTCTATCAGTGTATGTTTATGTCTGTCTGAGATACACACATTAATATCTCTGTCCAGGGGTGTGATTAAGGCTTTTGTATGCACTGGAGGATGCCTTTGGTTGACTCAGTGGGCCCCTGCTCATCCAGCCTAGGGTGTCCGAGGTGTCCCTAACCTCTACTGTCCGTGGAAACCAGGGCCAATCACAGGAGCCCGAGGGGCCACATTAGCCTGGGCTGGCATTTGCCCTTCTAACCAATTAAACTGGTGTCAGAGACTCATGCTGGGACTGACAGTAATCTGGAAATAATCAGTTGCCTTTAGGGGAGCGGATTATTTGCGCGGAAGGAACTGCATCTTTCTGGAGAGGCAAAGAGGAGAGTAACCCACACGTCTCTCTGAGGCTCTGCATGCTGAATGTCCCACTCCCACGCCAGCTCCAGAACAGCCCCATTAGCACCACCAGTCCCTGGGGCTACCTGGGGATGCAGGGTGCCATTGTGGGCACCTGAGGAGTCCCCAGGATGCCCAGGGTGGTGTCGGCTGAGCTTGCATGGGATGCTGTGCCCACGCGCTCCTCCGACTGCCGACTTCAAGTGCAACACGAAATTGGGGTTTGATGCCCTTCAGCCTTTTCAGTCTGCCCATGAATTTGGCAAGTGCTGCCTGCTGGTGGTTGGTGGCCTGGTGGGGTGATGGGGGCCACGTCATTCCCCTTCCACAGGTAGAGGGCTGCTCCATGGCGTGGAGGACCCTGGTCGTGGTGGTGATCTCCTGGCAGGGCAGTGCCTGAGCAGTGATTTGGGATGGAGCTGTGGTGGTGCCTTGTCAAAGTCAGTAACTCCCCAGAAGTGGTAGGGCCTGTCTAAAAAGCACCATGAAAGCCAGATGTGTGAACACAGATGTTCAACTCCCTTCCCATAAGGGACTGCACCACGCCCCTTTTTTATCTATTTTTATTTTTTTAAATGCCAGGCTTAATTTAACTCTATTTCCTGTATGAGAAGTGCAAATAATTCACAGATTAACTAGCTTTCTTTGAGAGTGGGGATTTTTTGGAAAAGAAAAAAAAAAAAGAAGAAATTTGAGCTTTTTTGATACTGTTTGACAAAACAAGTTAAAGTTTTGGCTTTCCATTGCTTAGACAATTTAAAAAAACTTATGGAGTTTTTATTTGTCTAGAAGAAGAGGAGAGTATTTTTTTGTTTCCAATGCAGATGAAAAAAATCTTCCTGTAGTTAATTGTAGATAAACTGACGCCACCAACTCAATGCAGAATGCATCAGTTCTAATAATGAAATTTACTGACCACAGTGAGACAAATTTCAGAAACCCTCTTGATTTTTAAAGTTTTT